CTCTCTCTCTCTCTCTCTCTCTCTCTCTCGTGATAATAACGATGCCGTAATAACGTCGCTGACATGCTCGTGCCAGAACCGAAGTATATGCTCGATGTATACGACCTAAATAAGATGCGATGCCCCCCCAGGGCGAAAGTAATTCACACGCGCGAACGGGAGCTCGTGCGCGCACACGCCGTACTTCACCGACTTTTAGGCTTCATTTGCTACATCGTCCTGATAACATTTGCACCTTACTGCACCTGACTTTACCGCTAACACACATTCGGCTTGGGTGAATATAACGATCACAGCTGTAGTAATTTAATTTGCTCAATTTCGTTTACTGCATACGTATTATGATAGTTTAATGTTTTTGTTACATCCCAATTTATAAAAGGAATGATTAAATTATTAATGTCAATTATCATGATATATATAAGTGAAAGGATAGTATATTCTGCAAAAAGTAAAAATAATCGCACAATTTTTTAAATCGTTGATACAATAACGTGTTTACATGTTTTTTGTTACATTATAACAATATCGTTTTTATTAGAGTTTCGCACACATAAAGCTTATCTGACTACGATCGTTACCCAATTAAAATCCAATTATGCTAATTGAGGACTTGAAAGTCGAAATTAAAATGTAATATTTTATTTGGCGAACAATTTTCACGTACTTGTCTTATTCTGACAGACAACGCGATCTCTTAGCTGATAGTGGAAAAGATGCTAGACGCTAAAGCGAAAAAGAGACAAAGCGAAAAGGATAGACATCGAGAGGGAGCATCGAGTCAGTAGGCTAGTGGGAACGTAAACCGTACGTACGGTACCGCGAGCCTTCTCCCTCTTTTCCTCTTATACTTTCCGCCTTCCTTCCTCTTCTCTCACAATTTTCTCCTTCTATTGTAGATCGCGGATGCTACATGCACTTGTACATGTATATACTCGGAATATATATGTAATATACAAACACACACACGCTTGCGCATATATATAACATACATATACATACATAACGGTAATTTTAGTATTCTTGGGAGCAGCGTTTCCCAAACGATTGTAAGTCAAGAATTCCCTTTATAGGTCCCGAGATTACAATAATAGTAACACATGTCTAGTTGCAAATAGTCAGCTTTAGGCTTAGGACTTTTAAATTGTTAAATCCTACTATACACTTGCATTCCTTTTGGTTAATTGATGTTTAGATCTTCTTTGGATTTATAGTTGCTGAGTGTACCTGCATCGTTCGTGCAAATTTATCTCTTTTGCCTTTCCTTTTTTTATTTTAATTTTCCCCTTGCTTACGTACAATTAAAGATCTGCGATAGATATTTAAATTTCAATCATAGAGCCGTATGAAAGTCCAATGACATACTCAAAATTATATAAACAAGAGTCATTGAGCAAAGTCAAGACTTTTATCTCTCGATCTCGTCGAGCAATTCAACCGCATCATCGGTGTACATTTTTTTAAAGACACCCTATATGGGTGGGTGGTCGGCGTTGTGAAGCAGGCTCGCAAGCTCGGCCGGTGGTCGCCGAGCTTCGCTCGATAGCGATGCGCGGTTCCCCTCGATGCGAGCTCACCACTGCTTGCAACGCGGTTGGGATTAAAGGGGAACCATCGTGGTGCATGGAAATGCAGGATCGATGCGCCAGGAGTCGGTTGCTTTTTTATGTTCTGCCGCAGATCGATCGTTCAGGATTGATGACACGATGTCAGGTTTTATATCCACTTGCTATTTAAATTCTATACTTTAACATTTCACTCTACTTTCATCGGTCTTAAGTAATCCTGTGTGCAAGTTAATTTTCTATTCATGAACCGTGACTGTTCTTCACGACATTCATAGTCAAACTCGCGCAACCTTAAATTTTTAAATGCATAGTATGCATGTATTTAATTTATACATATATTGATTTTGAAAAGAGCTGTTTATATGTGACTAAAGATTAAAATTAACTGTAAAATTTTCATAAGGTTTTCGTATGGATTCTCTCTCTCTAAGAATTTGAATTGATATTATTTATATTATGTATATATTTTTATTTTATATGTTTTTACTTAGCACTCTTACGATCTTCATGCCATATTATGAAAACTATTTTCGTTCATCTATTATTTTAGAAAGTTGATTCGAGAACTTTCGAGATTACATAAATGTCTCACAATTTGAAATTTGCGTCGTGTTTTTCTATAAATTGATCTGTTATTTCCATTATTTCGCCGCAATTTTTTCATATGTCGTGAGCATTTTTTCTAATTATTAATTCTATTAGTCTATCTTTTCGCTGTCTGACAGAATTAAATCTTCCTCTATCCGCAATAAGATGGCACGAAACGATCCGATGGAAGTTGTAATCGCCGATCGAGCGAGAGCTAACTTTATGCTTTCTACTTCTTCTCGTATCTTGAAACTTAGGAAATATATGGCAGTTGAGAGTTAAATGAGAAAATATATTTACAGTAGATCTCTTATCGAATTAGCTCAACTGCACTCGAAAGTTTAAAAAAGGAATTTTTCTTGGATTTGATTGAAGAATACGTTTGTTTAAATTGAAATTGAATATTGTAAAATGGAAATTGGAGATAGTTTAAAGTTTTCATTTATACGTAATATATTTTATCTATGTATTAATCTCTAAAATTCTATGATAAACTGATAAGTTTTGTTCATAATAATATAATGCAATTTTAGACTTTATTAATATTTTAGTTTAAAATCACTTTCATATTGAGAATATGTAGAAAAATAAGACAACAAGTCGTCATATATACGTCTATATGTCGGCGCTCTCACGCAATCGGCACGATGGCAACTCCCTTCCAGATCAAAAACGAGAAGGTAAATTCGACGAAGCCATGTCACGTCGTTGGGAGCTGGCGCGATTTCCGACGACAGCAACGACGGCTACGCGGACAACGGCTACGGGAAGCGCGCCAACGACCGCGATAACGACAAACGAAGCGAGCGCAACGACGTTAACGACCACGACGAGTACTAGACTCGGCGTGCTGCGACTTCGGGGTGACTAGAGTGAATCGCCAACGGTGCGACCATTAAGACAACGACAACAACGACTGACGCGTCGATTGAGGGGGCGAGTGATAGTACGCGATAAATCGTGTCACATTGCAACGCGTCGTTGGGGTGGCGTGGAAAAGACGAAGAAGAAGGGGAAGAAAGAAGAAGGGAAGAAAAAGTGGAGCAAGACGATAGGACGAAGGACAAGGCGAGTACCTCTTAGCCGGTGAACCGACTAAGGAATAGACTAATCGCGAGTGTCCAAAGTGTTATTAGTAGACTTATCGCTAAAGAGCGACAGTGGTGCATCGGACCACCGAAGAGTGAAAAACGTATCTTCGAGATTAACGCCGTTACGCGGCCGCGGATGTTACACCGGGCCGGCATAGGGCGCCCGGTGGTTCAGCAGGGCATCAGCCTGGCAGACGTCAGTCTACACCGTCACCACGGCGTTCAACATGTTCGAGATGTGGAGCGCGGTGAGTTCCAAGCTGGAACACTCCGCGACCTCCTCGGGCTCGCCGTTGCCGTTGACCTCGCACGCGCCCCAGACGCCCCATACGTCATCAGGGAGCATAAAAGGTAAAGGGTCCGACTGAAAAGTTTATAGGGTCTGATATGGAACTAGGTTGGTCTGTAAATATGTAGAACATGCGCCTGCAATATGTAGAACATATTCAGACCGACACGATAGTGATTAACGTTAAATTGTATTAATTCTCTCTTTCCCGTCCTGTCTATATTATCAATAAGATTAGTTAGGCAAAAATAGCAATGCACTCTCTCGTAATTATTTAACTAAATTTATGTGTATAATCATGAATCACATTTCAACAACATCCGTTAATCTTAATACAATTAAACTGCTCTCTTTCGACTTTTAGAAAGAAACCTGAAATCCAATTGTCAAGTTATTAATGCAATTATAAAAAGCTGAACTTATTTACAATAGTAAATAAAAAAAATCAATCAATGGAAAAAACAAATGAGCACAAGGAAGGCCATATTCGGTCAAAGTGGATTTTAATGCGACTAATAATATTTTTGCGTGAATCTAATACATACTTTCCGGTTCAAACTGCATTTTCTCACAATAAATTCTTTAGTGTTTTAAGATGCTGATTAGTATTATTATTATTAAATTGCTTGCCAATTTATTTACGTACTCGAGGTTTAAGTTTAGGGCGGTGTTTCAAGATAAATAAAATAATCAGCATTCAGTTTATTTGAGCTAAATTGAGTCACACAAAGATATTATTAGACACCAAGATCGGCTTTGAATATAATCTTCTTTGCTATTTACGTTTATATTTATACATTCTTGAAATCTAAAAGTATTTAAATTTTTATAGTCCCCAATACACAAACTTGCTAGAGGTCAAGATTTCATCGAAACGAAAATGAATGTATTGAATATTGGGATACTCGATCTTTAACCCTTTATGCTCATATATCATCTACATGACGAAATAGAACGAGATGTCTGATCGCGATTCGACGTGAATTATAAAACCCCATTAATCACGCGTGCGTCGAACGTTGTAATAAATCTCGCGTTACACATTGCTATGGCATACCCATTTGTGCTCAAATCGTTCCCTTACATTTTTAATATCTACTCATACAAGCAGATAGTCAATACCAAAAGTTGCCTTTCGTGAAGTAATTAGCATACTAATTTGTATTGTGAAACGACGTATCTAGTACGCATCTAGTAACGATTAAGTCAGTCTCCAATGTATAATGCTTTTTTTTTTTTTTTTCAAAAATATCTAATGTGGGATTAGCATTATAAATCATGTATAGTGCAAAATTAAATTAAACACACAGTGTATTTTATTGAATGTCACCAGTAAAAACAAAATATGTAATATATAAATTGAATGACGATATCAAAATATGTAATATTAACTGTCGCTGGTGCAACCACCGATATGAGTGCAATTGAGCTTGGTTCAAAGGTATTCGTTGTGAAATCAATGTATGCCGTCTCCGACGTGATCGACGTTCGATACGTATACTGTCGTATTATTAACGTTCATCTCGATTAGAATCGAAGTGCATATACATACGCCGCGCGATCACGTTCTCTTTTATTATTTAATTTTTTTTACTACAAAAGTAAATTTGTTTATACATAAAAACAAAAGGAGCAAAATAAAAATGTTCAATAAACTATTAATTTTATATAGATACGTTTGCTAAAATTACAGATAAATAATAGAGGAGATAAATGGATTAAAAATATTTTTTTAATAGTAATATACATCATGACACACACACACACACACATATATATATATATATACACATGATGCATATTATTCTAATTAATAAGTTTATATATTATTTAATTTTATATAGTTTATATATTTATTCACGTATTGTGACACATTAATTATAACTATGTATATATGGGGTGTAACTAATTTATAATTTTTATTTATGACGCATGAACCATAGCTTTTTAATAAGGGTGGACAACAAATCTCTAAGGGATGAAAACAAATTTTAATTAACATATTTTTACTTCGTCAAAATAATTATACAATTATCTTCACATTTTTCAAATCATATCTCGCTCGCGAGATTAACGAAAAGTGAAGAACGATGAACCTTAGAGCAAGTCTATTTGTAAGGGCGCAGACGGCACAAAATTCGCCAACGAAAGACTCGCTCTCGCGTCCTCACGCGTCTTCGTAGTACTGTATTACCAGTCGGCCTCACGCGGGCGTTCTTCTTACGGAGTTTTGCGCAACCCGTTCTTACGTAGGTACTTTCGCTTTGCATAATTTGCTCGGCATCGTGCGTTTCGTATCGAGTATTCGTATTCGGGACGACCGCGAAGCGCAATATCGTCACTTACAGACATCTGCGAACCTTGTTCAAGTACAAGATTTTTTCCCCCTTCCTATCTCTTTTCCCTTTTTCTGATTATTTTATTCATGTTACATAACAATGGATTAGTAAGATTTTTAATATGTATACGAAAACTGTCGCGCGAATATTATTTTCTGAAATGTGCTCTGTTTATAATGTTCTGTTTCCTATATTTACAGGAAACTTTTATTTACAAGACTTGTTATGAACTTCTGATTGTTTAAATTTTAGAAAGAAGGTCCAACAGGATCTTATAGGTTATGCATATGAAATTTTATTACTTTGCATTATCGCTTTAAGTAAATATTAATATAATTTAACGAGCAACGAGCCGAAATAAACATATTACAATTGAGAAGAGAAACAAAAAAAAAATACATTTAAAATAATAAAAAATAAACAAATAACAGACGTTTCGACACCGATCGGGTCATTTTCAATGACAAATTATTAAATTATTAACGGAAATTTAATACATGCTAAGAATATTTTAACGGATTTTAACAAAGATATTAAATAAGTTTTTAAAACATTATGCTGATCGTTAGGAAGCTTGCCAAATGTAGTCAGGCCAAATTAAAGTAGTCCATCATTAAAATGTTGTCAAAGGTTATAAAACTTAGGAAGCATCGTAATGGTGCAACAAATAAAAATTCTCTAAAAAATATAGCAATATGAAGTAAATTATAACGCTTTAAGTAAATTATAGATTGGAAAAGAATGACAAATCTTGCTATTCAGAATATCAATTTTTTTATAGTCTTCATTTTTTATTAATCTAATTTTTGTTTATTACGTTTGTTATTATAAGACTTTACGGTTTATTTAATTGCACTTTGTACGTAACTAATATATGTATGAAAAATGATATGTAGGTAAATTTTGTTTACAGAATAGCAATAATAAAGAATTTAATATGATATCAAACATTTAAATATAAAACAAAAAAAGATATTCGAAAGACAACAAATTATGAAAAAAATACGGAGCTTTTTACAGGAACGACATTTTCGTCGAATGACATTAGCAAGCAGTTTTAGTGTTAATCACGTTAACCTAGTTTTTGCTTTGTGGATACCCGAAAAAGTCACGATTCGTAGCAGAGCATATATTGGATAATATTATATGTAGATATACACATAAATCTCGAACGGCTGTCAGTGACAAGATGGATCAATTTTACAATCAAACATTCAAAACCCTTTTGAATATGTGTATAATATCGCAATGATACTTATATTACCATTAATTGATACAATGATGCAATTATCTCTACTAAAAAGATATTTATAATAAGAATGCAAATACATACACTGTTAATATATTTTAAATAAAAACTGTACATAAGAACTGTAATATTCACTAAAGATATTCTAGATTTTTCGTTTTTTTCTTTCATAACTACCTTCAACAATTTACTTATAATTGACTTTTTTCTACATTTATAATATGCGCTTATACATATATCTACATTTTTAACATTTTTATATATTATTGATTTTATTATAAATTATTGACTCGATATTTTACCCAATATACATTACTATGTCTTAAACACGTCTTCAAATTGATCAGAGTTAACAACGATTGCGAAGAACCTATAATACTCCATGAATAATGCATGATAGGGAATTAAGGTTTTTTATAGGTTTGAAATGGAAAGTTATTTATAACGTTCAATGTCATTTTTAAAAACTATTTATAATCTTTAACAAAGTGTATAGAAAATCAATCGTCTATAATGTCTATATATGTATACTGCTTAGATACCAATTAAACATTTAATCATAACATAGAGAAAGAAGTGAAAGACTACTTGATAAATTTTAACATCAATTTTATTAATCGTCCGTGATATATACAGAAGAAAAAATATTGATTATTTCGCGCGAGTAACTGTAATCATGTCGTATGGAAAACCCCTCTATGTAGGATAGTATAAATTAATTGTATAAGATATATTCCTGGAGAAACTTAATTCCAACTTAATATATAAATCGTTAAAACAATCAACAAATTAATGTATCCTTAATCGACCTCAATCATTAAGCACAATAATTATTATCAATTGATTAAAAAGCTTTTCACGATAAATCGAAACATTAATTATGTAAGTTATCTTTAATGTTCCAAACACTGAATTACTTAAAATTAATATTATTTGTAATTAATTTTTTTCTATAATATTATATCTCAATTTTTTATTAACTTATGTTAAACATACAACATTTTGTATTATTTAATACAAATTTGACTTATTTATTTAATAGTATTAGTTAGATAATAAACATATTTTTGATGATATATCAATTTTAGATTATAAGAAGCGTGTTAAATTAATTATGGTATTAATTTAATATGTAGAAGAAATATGGTACATTAAGAAGTTAATAAATATAAATCTATTAATAACTGAATATTTTTTCTTTTCGCATATATTTCTTCTACCTTTACTATCTTGTGTTATTTTACGAAAGACTTGCGTTATTAACATTCAATACATTTATACATGTAGTCGTTAAGAAAACCTTTCCTTTTGCCGCACAGTTTGATGTTTATTTGGGTTCTTAAATGGTAAATCGACGAAATGAACGATCGCAGCGAAACGACGACGACGTGCATCGATTTCGCAACGAGGAGCCTTCGAACCGGTCCGTTCGCTCCGAAAACGCGCCACCGTTCACCGTACAAGCGTATCTCAC